ACACACTAAATGTTTGAGTACTAATTATAATAATATAAATATATTATAAAAATATGTAGTCATATGAACTATTATAAATATATGTTTGTGTGTTATGTGTCATGTCATGTGTGTTATTTATAAAATATATAATTTATACTTGATGTAATTTAGTTATATTTTATAAGAAATATTTGTATTCAGCAGGGATGCATTAAATTGATCAAAAGTAACAATATAAATTAGTTATAAAAAAAACAATATAAATTAGTTATAAAAAAAAGTTTTAAAAAATGTATTTTTAATTAATGCTGTTCTTTTGACAAATTCATTAAAAAAAATCTTGTAATAAAATCACATTTTCCACAAAAATATTGTTTCTTGCATTATGGTTTGCTGTTACATTTATAATGTTCTTTTGTTGAAAAATTGTAAATACTATCAATGATTTTGTCTCTTTAACATATTTTACTCCATCTACGACAACTCTTTTGAAGACATTTTTAACCAAGTTAAGCCAAATACAGTTGTGGAGTTTTTAGCAAAAAGGAATTATAAAAACATGATAAAATTCAGCCATATTTCTCGCCATGAAAATAGCCATAGAAACTGTAATGGCGTTAAACAAACTCCATCTACGACTCTTTTCTGTAGATCGCCTGACGTTGAAGGACACTCAGATTGTCCAGAGCCTCACAGAGAAGCTGCAGTTGTTTGCAGAGCTGGCTGAATCTGTGGCCGGTTTAGAGGACGCCAGCTCTCGCTCCCGTCTGCTGCTGCGGGGCGATGCCGTGGAACTCCAGCAGGGGGAGCAGCTGCTCAAAGGAGCCATTACTGAAGGTAACATGTCAGGTTGATGGCCTGATGAATCAGTTAGTTTGTGTTAATTGTCTTAAGCATTGGCGTCATGATGTAATCTTGCACCTGGTAGCAAACTAGATTATTTGAGCGCTAAATGTAGATATTGAAGTATATCTCTGTGTTTCTGTAGTGGAGAACCTGCAGAACCTCCTTGCATCTGGAGCTCGGGAAGCATCTCCACAGACTGAGGGGAACCAGAGTCCGTCCTTGAGTTTGCTGCCACGCAGAGCGGACACCTTCGGCGGCTATGATAGCATTCCTAGCATACTGCCTAAGAGTAAGAGTCAGTACATGTGATTAGACACCGATTATACACGTCGCATTAACGTAGATTTGTTGGCAGTATTTTAATGTAAGACTCATTATTGTTGCATAATATCAGATCTTTTTATCCATATTCATTGCATATTTTAAAGGCTGTGCATCCCACTATCTGTACTATGCAGTGGGGAAGATTACGATTGATTAGTCTTAAATTATAGTTGAAAATAACACATTAAAGATTCATTCATTTTTGATTTTCCTTTGTTGTTGTTCTCTTTCTCTTTTTTTTGTCTTTTTTCAATAATTTTGTTTGTTTTTTCTGTCTTTTGTTCTTTTTTTCTTTCATTTTATAGTTTTGTCACTCTTGTTTGTTTTTGATTTTTGCTTGTTTCTTTCTCTTTTGTTTGTTCAGTTTTTTTTTTATTCATTTGCTGTTTTCTTTGTTTGCTCTTTTTGTTTAATCACTCATTTCTTCTGTCTTTTGTTGAATCTTTCATTTGTTTGTTTGTTTTTATGATAGCCTTTTGTTTATTATTTAGTTTCATTCTTTCTTTTAATTGTTCTTTTTTTTTCTTTTCCTTCATTCTTTTATTTGTTTGATTTGTTTTTTGTTTGTTTATTATTTTGTTTCTTAACGTTGATGCTTTCATTTGTTTGTTCTCTGACCTTTGTTCTTTCTTTCTTTTCCTTCTGGCTTGCTTTCAGTTTGCACTGCATTCTTACCAGACACTTACTTACCAAAGCACCTTACAGTGCAGTACACAAATCATGTTTGAGCAAATACAAGGACAGCCTACGTCTTAGTTGTCTAACTTTTCATTTTTAATTTCATATTTTAAAGGCTCCATCGCAATTCACATACTGTCTGTACTATGCAGTAGGTCAGCTGTTCCCAGACAGTTTTTAAAGTATGCATGCATATACATGCTTTTTTTGTTGTTGTTGTTGTTGTTGTTAATTATCCACAGCCCCCTGTGTTACAGGATATAGTTGGTTTGTGCTGTTTATGTGCAGGTCTGCTATGTACCTCTCCAGTTTAAGTTGTAAATCAGGTGTGTTTGTGTGTTAAATCAGACGGCAGTATTAAGAAGAAGGTTGCCGGAGCGGCCGGCAGGTCCAGGGACAGGAGTGAGCAAAAAGCTGAGAAAATCGCATTTTTATCAAATACTACATCTGGATCATATTCAGTAATATTATCAAAGCAAAATGCAGTAGATGGCTTCCATCAGCACTCCCAAAGCTTCACAGTCCTTTACCACTTCCTGGATAACATTTCACTTGGTAACATAAGGCAGTTTTCTGTTGTTGGCTGTTTATTGTTGTTGATTGCATTATTTTTCATATGCTTCTGCTTACATATGTGATCGCAAGTTTCTGTGTCTTCCTCGCCTGTGTTTTTGATCGGGACATTCTGGACTCATTCAGGAGATGAGTAATAGCGCCCCCGATTGTATAACAGTGAAAACACGGAAACCCGAAAAAATTCCACGTTTGACAGGGAAGCCGGCAGGTCCAGGGACAGGAGTCAACGGGCCAGCTCTGATCCGCAGCTCAAAGAGGTGTACGCATGTCAGGACCGGGATGAGCTGGTGAGAGAACATACTCATGCAGGCCTTTGTCCCACAGATGACAAGAACATGGCCGTGTTTACTAAATGAGAATGACATCAGATGTTTTGGACAGGAATTTCACTTTTGTCAGTTTTAAACTGTCACACTAGTCATTGTCAGGCTATAGATCTGGTAATTATATGATGATTATATTATAAAATTATATGATTATTATGATTATATTATTTAGTGTATTACTATTGTTAAAAATATAATAATAAATGTATATAACAGTATCTATAATTTATAATAATATATATTTGTTTATTTATAGTAATGTATATTATGTATATACATTTATAGAAAATTAATAATTACATATAATGTTTATAATAATTTAGTTTTTTGTTTATTGTAGTGTGTATTATATATGTATATAACATTTAAAACAATATTGTTTACATAAATTATATAGTAATGTTTATACACACACACATATATAGTATATTTGTATATTATATTATGTATTTATAATATAAAATTGTATATTAGTGTGTATTTACATTTTATTTTTAATCAAATATTTATTAGCAAATATAATTATAGTAAAATATTATTTACATTTTTTAATAGATTATAAAATAGGCCTATTATATTATAACATTTGAACATTAGTTTATCACCATTTTTATTAATGTTGGCAGTTTAATGTGTTAACAGTGGAATTAATAAAAAAAAATAAAAAATACAATAAAAAAATATTAATCAAGGTTTAATAAAATATAAAAATCAATAGTGCATTATACTTCTTTAACTCTTTCCCCACCAGCGTTTTTGAAAAAATTTGCCAGCCACTGCCAGCATTTTTTATCATTTTCACTAAAATTGTGGCCCCTAAAATATTTTGTTGTCTGAACATGCAATCAAAATAAAGAACAGAGCCTCTACTTTAAAAAAAAAAAATATATATATATATTTTATTTT